ACTTTTTTCTGCTTATGTGGTGCTGAGGAATCGAACCCAGGGCCTCATGCATGCAAGGCAAGCGCTCTACCACTGAGCCACCTTCCCAGCCCCTCAACCTTCTTTTGAAAGAAAACAAATCAAGTTGGTAGATGAAATGTCTGGTGTACAACTTTTCTCTCATGATAAACATATTTTTTCCTCCTCCTGGGCATGGTGTTGGTACCTGCCTATAATCCTAATGTTCAGGAGGCTGAAATAACAGATCCTGAGTTTGGGGCCAGCAACCAAGCAACTATGTTTCTGTTCCCATTTGCCTACTATAAGGAGTAATTGAGTAGTTAAAAAAAAAATTGGAACCAGTCAATCATGTGGTCAGTTAGTTCTCTTTTTGCACTGGTGGCAACACTGCACATCATCATGATATTTTTTTTTTTTTTTGTCGGTCTTGGGGCTTGAACTCTGGGCCTGGGTGCTGTCCCTCAGGCTAGCACTCTACCACCTGAGCCACAGCACCACTTCCGCTTTTTTCTGCTTATGTGGTGCTGAGGAATTGAACCCAAGGCCTCATGCATGCAAGGCATGCGCTCTACCATGAGCCACCTTCCCAACCCCACATCATTGTGATATTGTATCTTGTCCTGTACACAAGTTCCTCATTAGCAGAATAGAATTATAAAGCTACCAGCCAGGTGCTGGTGGCTCACACCTGTAATCCTACACAGGAAGCTGAGATCCAAAGATGGTAATATGTAAGTTGATAATGTCTAGATTCTAGGAATCTCTTTTTTTGGTTGTAGGGCTTGAACTCTGGGCCTGAGCTCAGCTCAAGGCACTTCTGATTTTCTGGTAGTTAATTGGAGATAAGTCTCACAGACTTTCCTGCCTAGGCTGGCTTTGAACCTCGATCCTCAGATCTCAGTCTCCTGAGTAGCTAGGATTACAGGCCTGAGCCATTGGTGCAAATCCCCCCCCATCCCCCACAGAATATTTACTTTTGAAGCTGGGCGCTGGTGGCTCACGCCTGTAATCCTAGCTACTGAGGAGGCTGAGATCTGAGGATCGCGGTTCAAAGCCAGCCCGGGCAAGAGAGACCGTGAGACTCCTATCTCCAAGAAACCACCAGAAAACCGGAAGTGGTGCGCTGTAGCTCAAGTGGTAGAGCGCTCGCCTTGAGCTGAAGAGCTGAGGGACAGCCCCCAAGCCCAGAGTTCAAGCCCCACGACCGACAAAAAAAAAAAAAGAATATTTAATTTTGAAGTGACTCAAGGAAGGCAAAATTCAACCCAAAGAGGAATGAAGAAAAGAATGAAGAAAAGAAGTATCATGCAGTATTATTTCCCCCATCAAATTTAGTCCTAATCTAATTCTTAGAAAAGAGCCTGGGAAGACTAAAAACCAGTGAACCAAGCAAGTAAAAGTAGCCAAGAAAGGTAAGACATTTTATTGTACATACAAAAAGGGTGCAAACTGAGTCCTTTCTTCCCCAAATTGGGAAGAGGTATACTTAAAGATCCCATTTGTGTTTTCCATGGTGCCCTAGGAGATGGGCTACTCTGAGATAATGCATCAAGACCCATTTTCTATTTTCTCCAAAGGCAGCTACTTCCTCTGCAGATCTTTTTTTTTCCCCAATACTCTACAAATCTCTCTCTTGGAGGAACCATTTCAAATACACCTGAAATTTGACATTCATGGTTTAAAATACTACAAAGTTTCAATTTCACAGCTGAGACTGACCAGTGCCAGGGTTTAGGAAACATTACATATCTTAAGGAAAAAAAAAAAAAAAAAGGTAAAAACAAAAAGGCATTTACAAGACACGTCACACGATTAAAACTAATTTCCACAGTTGATTTATACATTATCTAGTTAAAAAAAATTCAGTCAACATTCCAACATCTTTTCAAGAGTATAATGGGCAAAGATGAAAGAAACAGACAAATAATAATATAATAAATTAGATCACGTAAGATATACAATGGGAATTACTAAATCATCATTATTTTCCACTGGGGAGTTATATTTTTGGTTTTGTATCTTATCTTTTCTGCTGTTACTTTCTCTGCTTGACAAAGGGCCTCATTCCCAGAGCCAGCTTGCTTAGACACTTGATTTACCTCTGCAAATACTTGGGAACTCCTGGCTCCCAGCTGCCTGGCTGTCTTAGTGAAATTCACACAGATGAGTACACACACACATGCAATCATTACCCCCCCCACACACCTATAAATATATTTATTCCCAAAGAAATGGCTCATCTTTCCCAAGACACTCCTAATAGATTGATAAGCCTTCTAAAAGGCTTTTGGTGCAAACGCTGGCCTGGGATTTGGTCTAGAGCCCAAGAAGAGGAACACTGAAAATGTCTCACCTACCCTGAAACACATGTTGGGGGGGAGGGGCGGCAGTCCGGACAATGGTCCCCTTGTGCATTCCTGGGATGAGGGCTGCACTAGACCCCCAATTTGTTACTGTGGATAACCCACTGCTAAGACCTGAAAGGTGGTGATGGCACCGGAAAAATGATTGTGAGGAGTAAGAGAGAAACAAGTCAAAGAAATCCCGTCTACATTAAACTGGGGTTTCTTTATAACATCAAGTTTGGTTATCAGACTAGAAACATTATGGAATACATGCTTACTTTTTCCTTTGTAAGCTGACCTACAAATACTGGAGTGGGTTTCCTGGTTAGTTTTTGAGAAAATATGTCAACTACTATTGCCTATATCAGGGACCTATTTACTATTCTGAATACAATGAGAAACCTAGTCTTCTGCACCTAAGTCACGTGCAAAAGGAGTAAGGGAACACATTTTTAAGACTGTTGATTGGGCCAAAGACTCCAAAACTTATGGCAAAAACACTGCTCAAAACTCTACAAAGCTAACAGAATGGCCATTTGCCTCTTCTTTTTCACAGAATCAGCCTCCACCCACCCTCCCAAAAATTAAAAAAAATAAAAACAAAAAACCCAGACTCAAAAGGAAGAAATCCCAGCACGGGGGAAGTCATGGTGATCAGTCTCTAGATGGGACTTCCTTGGAGTCTGCAAAACCAAGAACAGCATAGCTAAATGCCTGTCATCCACATGGCCCATCCAGATGGAGTACCTAGTATTCCTGGCTCCCTGAGGGTCTTTGTAATTCGTTCACCACCTAGGGGTAACCATGGGGATGGTGGCAGTGGCCTGGCAAAGGCAATGTTGGCTGTATGGCCTTACAAACTCCCAATATGAGAAGCCCTAGCCCCAGCGTGGCTCTGACGCTGGGGAACATTGTCAGGTCAGGGCAACTTGGTGGGAATGGAAAACTGGTGGCAATGGCCTGGATACAGGAGGCAGGTAGGTTTGGGAGGGATGCATCAGAGGATCAAGTTCCTTTAAGGGCTGCTTGCTCATTGAGGAATGCAGCCATGCTTGCTCACTAGGAAGGGATTCTATCATCCATGTTGGGAAAAAAAAAAAAAAAGCTAAGGCTATGATGTTAGAGATCACTTTAATGTAACATTACCACTTGCATATTTTTCAGGCATTAAAGTGATTACTAACACTGAAAATTGACACTGAAGCAGAGCTAGTAGCACGTTTCTACTGATTTAGGGTGAAAGTTTGAAAAAGTTACTTTAGAGAAGATGGACAGGGACCATTTCTATATATTTGGAGCTCTCTGCAAATAAATAATCAACACTTCTACTTGAAACCTCAGGATCTCTGCTGCCTGCAGCAGCTCTTGAACTAGCAGCTAATCTAATCATTACATATCTTCCTGAACCCTGTTGGGCTCAGACAGACGCTGACACAGAATGGTGATTAAGGCAGTCCTGAATGCTCACCGCTCGCGGGACGCTCCACTCTCTCTAGTAGGAAGTCTGGAGTCAGAACTCAGGAAAGTGCCATGGTATGAGAGGCCAAGTGATTCACACTTGAGCCTCGTGGCTGCACAGGCTTAAGTCCCGGTGGCTTCCTGGCCTGTTTGCCCCAGTCTATGCAGGCTTCAGTACCTGAGGGAGGCGAGGGCTTGAGAGAACTCCTAATGGATTTCAATGAACAGATGCTGAGCCTTAACATGATGACATTCTTCTCAAAAGAAAATGATCCTCAGGCATCACAGCTGTGAAATGGAGACAACTCTTAACTAAGTTCAAGTGGATTTAGGGCAGAGGCAGGGAGAGGGATTACCTTTGAAATGGACAGGGCAGGGGTGGGAGCTGGTGTGCTGGTGGGAATGGAATTGATGGCCGAAATGCTGCTGGGGTCCTTGGTTTTGAGGGGTTTTAGTTTTTAAAAAAAAATTTTTTTTAAGGAAATCAAAACAAGAGTATCTTAGGTCTGAGACCACCTTGGAGTGTCAATGGCCTTGGAAAAAAATCACCATTACCCTGCATGCTAAAGGGACCTAGAGCTCTTCAGCTTTGTCTTGAAAACCTAAACGTCTAGTAAGGTGGGAATTTGCAGGGGCTGGAGGGTGAGGACAATACAGTAGCAAGCACCCTTCCCCACTCCTGCTAACAAGTCAAGCTAAAGTTAGACAAAAGAAAAAAGAGCTCAGCAAGACAGTCCCAAAGCCAAGCTGCTTACTGTCTTTGACTTTTTTTTTCTCCTGCGCATGCAGGGGGGAGGGGGGAGGCACTTAGGGGGGATACAGAGTGCCAGGATGCTCCAGGCTTTGCCACCATTTCCCCTGCCCTCCTTTGAGAGGCAAGGCATTTTCTATGCTGGGATGAGGACGCTTAAAGTTTCTACATGGGGAGTTAAAAGTTGCCCAAATGCCAAATGAGAGATCATAAAATCTTGGTGATGGACCTTAAGCACTAGGAAGGAACAAGGAAGCAGACTCCAATATTCCTGTGGGGAAAGGTGTGACAGTCTCTCCCTGCCACTATTTCATATGCAGAAACATTCCTTGTAAAGAAATGGCAGATTGCAGTCTTTATATAGCGAGCTAAGCAGGGCGGGAGCCAGTGAAGAGATTATTCCCTAGTCAAGATTCAATGGAACAGGTGAAGGCCAATGGCTGACTTACAAGAATGCTACTTCTGTTCTATGTAAGCTACGTCCAGTGATGTGTCAGGAAATGTCAACTACCAGAAAATATCCCCACACTCCAGTTCAAAAGACAGCCCTCCACAAGCCAGAGGCAAGAACTTCTGTGTTCCCCAAGTCACTAGCCACTGCCCTGCATGCTTAGCTCCTCGCTCTCAGATACCAGACCTCTTTTCCTGATGTGAGAAATCCCTTCGGTCACATCTGGAATGAGAAGTCACTGTTTGGAAAGGCCACTTAACTCGAACGAAAATGGAGCAGGACAAGAGTTACCCCACATATTATTAGGTCCTCAAAACAGGGAACGAGGAACCAAGATTTTCTGCTGTAAGCACGTCATGCAAATACGGCATGGTGGCGGGTAGAGATGGTGCACTGGAAAAAAACGTGCGTAGATGCATGGCCATCTGATCTGGAAGAAGTCTGTGTTCAACTGAACATAATTTTAGACCTTTTCCAGCACCAACCAATCCTACCCTCCTGGTCACTGGCAGCCATATGTGCCAAGTTCTAACCTGCAGTTACAGACCTGGTTGGACATCTTTGTATGCATTGTTTCTGATAAGGCAGGCCAGCCTGAATGCTACAGCTCAGTATTGAGGCAGCCAGGGTATTACCAATTTTCTTTTCCTGGACATATGATGCTGTACCCCAAGGCTTCTCTGGCAGTTAGCTGGAAGGCAGGTTCACTCTTTTTGTCCACTAGTGGCAATGTGGTAGTGGCTGTTTAATCAGTAATTTTGTCACCAGAAAGTCAACATGGCTATCTAGTAGGAAGTCCCTGGCAGTGAAGGAAAAAGACATTTGTGTTGTTTTCTTGTTGTTAAGCATCTGCTCTCTGGGACGGGCTGTCTCCTGGTCAGTTTGGCTGGGCTGCTCACTTCACATGCAGGAGAGCTGGGCTTACAAACTGCAGGCTCATTAGGTCAAGAGGCTCTGGTGGGGACTTTCTTCAGCAGCTGAGAAGATGAATGAAAATTCAAGTATGTTTCCTTGTCAACCTGAGTATTTACTCAGTGTGACAGAGTTTGGCTTCTTCTCTTCCGGGGGCTGCAAGTCGAACTTTCCATTGAGTCTGTCCTCTGGACCCAGGTTCTCTCTGAATGGCTTGGCTGGCCTGTTCCCTCACAACTGAAAAAAATAAAACCCCCAATAGAACCAGACACAATATGCATCTGCCGTGGTTTTTTTTTCTTTTTTCTTTTTTTTAAAAAACCAAAACAAAAAAAAACTAAAAGTGCAAAAAAGTCCGTTTTCTTTCCTTTGCTCAGAGCAATTTGCATGTCCTACTACTGCCTGGAGAAAGGAATTTGTCCAAAGAGCTAAGAACGCCAACACACAGGGACAGTAGACTGCAGATTTCTCACAGCTTGTGTCCTACAGTGTAATTTTGCAGGAGGGAAGGAAGAAGGAACCTGGCCACTGGGCTAGCGGCTGCCCAGGCGCAGAGGGAAAGGAAGCCAAACTGCCAGACACACCTAGGCACCGGAGAAGGTTCTCCTCCAGCCCGGGTCTACCATCTTCCTCCTACCTCCTTGGCAATACCCCCAACCTCTTGAGCCCCTTTCCTTAGACAAGGCCTTCTGCTCATTAGCTTTGATCCTGGAGAGGGTGCAGGGTAGAACAAGAACCAGGAGAAAAGAAGAGGTGGGAAGAGAACAGTAGTCCTTGAGTTTTTGTGAATGACACCTTCACTGTAAACAATGGGAAGGAGAGTTGACCAAGCAGCCCCATGGGCAAGCAGTGTAAGAGCAGCAGCTCTGGGACCTGCTCAGAGCGTCAGACAGGTTTGGGATGGCCACTGATCCACTGGGCCTTGGCTGCCCACACTGGCTCCTTCTGGGGGCATCTGTTTTCTTCTTTTTGGTTTGGATCTCTATCCTCCCCCACAAAGGAGTCTTTTCCAATGAGAAATGGCAGGAGCTGCAGGTGCAATCAAGTCAGAGTCCCCAGGGCCTGAGGACTCTTGGGAGGCACTGGTCACTTGTGGCGCTGAGCAGTCTTCTTCCTTTTCCTCTTAAAGAAACAGCAGCACCTATAGCACAAGGAACATTGCAAGTCAATGCTAGAAGCCTGATTGTGCTTACTGAATAGAGTAGGATTTCTCCCCTGGTACCCACCCACAGAGCCGCCTACCATCTCTAATGGGCGGGCGGGTACACAAGAGGTGGCAGGCAGTGTTTTCCAGGAAAGCCAAGGGAAAGAACTGAACTGCTTTATTTTAATTTGCAGATACCCAACCTAATCACCAAAATGCTGGAGGGTAGGTATGGAAGGTATTCTGGAAGGAACATGAAGAAGGCTTCTTTCCTAGTCTAAAACCCAACCCAGACGATCCACCTTTGTCTAGAATCAAGGCTGGGGATCCTCAGGGTTGCATGAAAATAGTCTGCATTGCCTGTAACTTGGATCATTAGAGCCACTCACTAGTCAGTGTGTAAAGAGGTCAAAGCAAGGCAAACGAGTAAGGTTTGGAATCATAGAGGATCTCATGGTGCTACCCCCCAGGATTAAAGCATCTCTCTGCCCCATTCCTGTTCCTGTGCAGCTGCATAGTAGGCAGGAGAAACTTTCTTAGAAGGACCAACGTCCATCGGGGGAGCTGATCGCTACGAGGCTCTCTGGATGCAGAAAGTCCCCACTCAGCTCCCAGAGACTGCTGCTACTGTGCAGAGCAGGCTAGGGAAGGCTTACTTACAGTAGAGGTTGGGGTTCCCCCAAGGGCTACCTCTTAAGAAACAGCCTCACTTCTGACATCCCTCTTCCCAAGCCTAAGAGCCCTTTCTTACTCTGGCCTCTGGACTAGGAAACATGGCTTTGCTTAGATAATCCAGATGAAGACTGGTACAGAAAACAGGGTCTTTTCCAGGAACTGACACAGAAAATGAGAGCATGAGGGGCAGAAGATGGTGGATGAGTCAAAGAAGCCAGATGAGACAAGAGTAAAGTTACAAATGTAAGCTCAGACTTGCTTGACCTCGAAAGAAAATCTTTTCTAAAAAACTATCTTTAATATCTTTCACCAAATCTGCTCAATTTTTGTTTTTGTTGTTGTTTTTGTTTTTTCCGGTCATGGTGCTTGAACTCAGGGCCTAGGTGCTGTCCTTAAGCTCTTTTGCTCAAGGCTTAGCGCTCTACCAACTTTGAGCCACAGCGGGGCTTCCAGTTTTTAGGTGGTTAACTAGAGTTAATAGTATCACAGACTTTCCTGCTCCTGCCCTGAACTGGGATCCTCTTTTCACAGCCTCCTGAGTAGCTAGAATTACAGGCATGAGCCACCAGCACCTGGCTATCCTTTCAGTTTTAAGGAAAGGAATATTCATACAGAAATAAAGAACTAGTACTCACTTCCAAAACCCCTGACCAGGTTCTCTATGACAACCAAGAGTTCTTCTCCATGCAGACGACTTAGCATTGCTATAACCAATGGATGCATACACAAAGTTTCTTAGAAGAAATAAACATTTAAACAGACAATGGGGGGCTGGGAAGGTGGCTCAGTGGTAGTGTTTGCCTTGCATGCATGAGGCCCTGGGTTCGAGTCCTCAGCACCACATAAGCAGAAAAGGCTGGAAGTAGTGCTGTGGCTCAAGTGGTAGAACGCTAGCCTTGAGCTGAAGAGCTGAGGACAGTGCCAAGGCCCAGAGTTCAGGCCCCACAGCCAAAATAAACAAACAAACAATGGTGGGCTTGAATTGTACTTAGATGAATTATAAAACTTGGAAATTGTAGACATAAAGAGTTTTTCTTTGGCAGTACTGGGGTTTGGCCTTGTTCCTGCCTAGTATGTGTTTGAGCCTCGCCTCTGCCTCCAAGCTAAAAATAGGAGTTTTAAAAAAGGGTCTCTGGTGGCTCACGCCTGTTATCCTAGCTACTCAGGAGGCTGAGATTTGAGATACAAAATTCAAAGCCAGCCAAGTCCCTGAGACTCTTATCTCCAATTAATCATCAGAAAACCAGAAGTGGTGCTGTGGTTCAAGTGGTAGAACGCCGCTTGCCTTGAGCTGAAGAGCTCAGGGACAGTGCCCAGGCCCAGAGTTCAAGCCCCACGACCCCCTGCCCCCCAAAATAAAACAAAGAAAAAACAACAAAGAGGTTCTTCAAACATTTTTTTGTTTGAGATGAAGACTCAAACTCAGTATCAGACACTTTCACCCACTGGCTGGTACTCTACTATCACACTTCCAACCCACCATCATCTTTTTAAGTACTATTATTAATGGGTGTGAATATACTTAACTAACTAAGCAAGTGTCATATATGTGTATATGTGTGTATACATACATACATACATACACACACACACACACATATATATATAGAAATATATATATATATATAGAAATGGAACAAATTCTTTTTTTTTTTTGTCAGTTGTGGGGCTTGAACTCTGGGCCTGGGCACTGTCCCTCAGCTCTTCAGCTCAAGGCTAGCACTCTACCACTTGAGCCACAGCACCACTTCCAGCTTTTTTGTTTTTGCTTATGTGGTGCTGAGGACTTGAACTCAGGGCCTCAGGCATGCAAGGCAAGCGCTCTACCACTGAGCCACCTTCCCAGCCCCAACAAATTCTTTTAAGTAGAAATAATCAATACTTTTGATTGCTTAAAAATAGTACTTAATGGAGGGCTGGGAAGGTGGCTCAGTGGTAGAGCGCTTGCCTTGCATGCATGAGGCCCTGGGTTTGATTCCTCAGCACCACATAAGCAGAAAAAAAACAAAAAAACAAAAACCAAAAAAAAAGTCAGAAGTATCACTCTGGCTCAAGTGATAGAGCGCTAGCCTTGAGTTGAAGAACTGACGGACAGAGCTCAGGGTCCAGAGTTCAGGCCCCATGACCGGATCCAAAAAAAAAAAAAAAAAAAAGTCCTTAATGGAAACCTTTGGAAAGAGTTAAAGAGATCTTTTTAGCTATCCATACATATTAGAAATAGACATTTTCCAAGTTGAATGTCTAGAAATTAATAGTTAAGAAGACAAATTTAGCTGGGTGCTGGTGGCTCAAGCCTGCAATCCTAGCTACTCAGGAGGCTGAGATCTGAGGATCTGCAGTTAGAAGCTAGCCTGGGCAGAAAAGTCTATCTACAATAAACTACTCAGAAGAAGCAGGGAGGCTGGGAAGGTGGCTTAGTGGTCGAGCATGAGGCCCTGGGTTCGATTCCTCAGCACCACATAAGCAGAAAAAGCCAGAAGTGGCACTGTGGCTCAAGTGGTAGAGTGCTATCCTTGCGCTGGAGAGCTGAGGGACAGTGCTCAGGCCCAGGAGTTCAGGCCCCACAACGGACAAAAAAAAGAAAAAAAAGAAGGAAAAAGCTGGAAGTGGCACTGTGCATCAAGTGACAGAGCACTGCCTTGAGCACAAAGAGTTTCAGGCTCAGCACCCAGGCCTTAAGGTTAAGCTCCATGACCAGCAAAAGAAAAGAAGACAAATTTTCATAGGAGCACCAATATTTCAACATCTTCTTGTTCTCTCATAAGAATGGCGTTACTAACATTTTTTTCTTCCTTTTCATTTCTTTTGGTGGTACTAACAAATTGAACTCAGGGCTCAAGATTGTTAGGCAAATGTTTTACCACTTGAGCTTTGCCTGTAGTTCAGGAGGCTAAGATTTCAGCTAAGAGAATGATTTTATGTGCTTTTAAATAAAAGCAGTAAAAAAAAAAAAAAAAAAGCAAAAATACTGGATCCATCTCAAAGTACAAAATTACATCTCTTTTTACTCCTCCAAGACAAATCATATGAATTAATGTCTGCCTACAAACATAATTTGATGTGCAATGCTGAATCACTCACTGGAGAAAAGTGTTAGCTGTGGTTCAGAAGTATATATTTTAAATTTAGAGCCCTCAAGTTTTCTTAGTAACTATAAAGCTTCAACAGTGGAAGCTACTAATTATACCCACAATCTGTTTTTTTTATTTTATTTATTTATTTATTTTTTTGGTCGGCCGTGGGGCTTGAACTCTGGGCCTGGGCGCTGTCCCTCAGCTCTTCAGCTCAAGGCGAGCGCTCTACCACTTGAGCTACAGCGCCACTTCCG